AAAAGCTCCTTGCGTACTTGCACGAAGCCGCCTCCAACAAAAAAAACTCCTTGCTCAGTCCAAAACCCTAGGCGTCTAGGGTATTAATAGCAGTCGGGTGGGCCTACTAAAAGCAATTGTGGACGGCATCTTTGTAGCAATTGTGGGCCCCACTCACTTTATTTTTATTTCCTCACAATTCTCCACCTCGGTGAAGTTTTTCTAAAACTGAGCCGACACAAAGCAACCAAATGTCCCACTTGTTGTGATCAGTACGAACGCAATCCACAACAAGTCGAGAACCCGAACGAGAGTCCAAACAATCTCACCCCATCAACTAATCCAAACCGGCTGCATCTGAAAGACTGCCTACGTATCCTCTTGCCTAAGGAATGAAGCCGAACGTAGTTCACCCAAATGGCCTCCAAAGGCCCTCAATCAAATAGAAAAGTCTGCAACTCTTCTTCAATATCACCAAACGATCTGCAACTGATAGCACTCCCAATAGCTCCAAATTGAGACAAATCAAACACCTCCATCTGAGGTGAACCAATGGCCGTATCCAAATTAAGTCCATCAGCTGCAATCGAATCCAACTCATCATCTGCATCCAAATCCAAATGATCCCCAATCTGTGTCACCTTAGCTGGAATCCCAAATGACGCAGTATGATCTGGAGTCTCCACCCAACGTGGAGTAGCATCACTCTCCACCCGCTGCGATGTCCCAAAGATCTGATAAACGTGACATACCTGCTCAGAACAAAGTTAGAAGCCAATACCTGATAATCAAACACGCCTCTGAATCTCAAATGTGCTATCGGATCAAATCTCACATCCACGATGTGACCAAGTGCTGGGTAGCCAAACATCCGACGCAACCTAAAATCTGAAGCAGCTCCACCAGATCCAAAATCTCTACATGCAGCAGTCAGCAACCTATACATGAGACGGCTCAAACATGTCGTAGCCCGCACACCAATGCCAATGCTCGACATCAAACGCCGATCCTTCTCCAGAAAGGAACAACTCCCCAAATCTGCCATCTCATCTCGTCGCCTCAAAGTTTCCACACCAATGAAGTGTCTCCAATTGCCATGAGCTCGGCACAAATGCATAAATAGGTCTCTCTTGTACCTCCCTCTAACATCAGACTGAAGTACCTTCACCTTTCTGCCAATACACTTCCTCCATCTGTTGCGGGCTTCTAGGACTTCACACCAACGGGACTTGGTTGCAACCCACCAATGCCTAGAGCAATCCCTAACTACGAAAACCACATACCTATTACCTCCCAATGATGCTCCTTTGGAAGGCCCCCGAATGCCTGAATGAACACCCCTCAGAAGACCCCTCGAATGATGGATAGAAGTGCCAAACTCCACCTCGGTCTTCTTGCTCATACCAATGGGTTCACAGGACTTCAAACTGCAGGTCAAAGCACTCCTCAATAACCTATGCACGGTATTACCAATCAAATAACCCAGCATCAAACAACGCCACAGTTTAGCCGAATCAGATGAAGTCGTCATCTCCCTATCAATCGCTGTGCTTCCAAGCAAATAATACAAATTTCTTCTTCTGACGCCCTTCATCACAATCATGGACCCCGATGTGACCTTCAAATATGCATCCATCATGGTCACTTTATACCCAGATGCCACCAAAGCTCCTAGTGAAATGATGTTCTTCGATAACTGCGGAACAAACCTCACTTCTTCCAACTCCTGAATCACTCCGTCATACATCCGAATACGAACGGTACCAATACCACCAATAGAACATGCATGTCCATTACCCATGAGCACAACATCCTCTCTTTCCAACTTCTGAAAGCTGGAGAACCAATCCCTCCTAGGGCAAACGTGGTATGAAGCACCTGAATCCAACATTCACTCTGTAGAGTTGGCAACACAAACTGACGGTAGTGCAGACAACGAATAGCCTGAAAAATCAGAATCTGAATTTTTGCCACTAGTCTTGACAACATTCACCTCTGGAGCTTGTACAGATTTCTCCTTATTCTTCTCGGCTCGATCTAACTTTGGGCATTCAGCTTTCCAATGTCCATCCTCTTTACAAAAGGCACACTGATTCCTACGAATCCCACGATGTGCACCTCTAGACTGCGACCTCCTGCTTTGGTTTGAACCACGGCCATGAACTACTAATGCATCTCCCGATGCCTTCTCGGAGGACTCATCAACACTCTTCCTCAACTCATAATTCACCAATGCTGAGGTCACATCCTTGTAACTAACAGTAGTTCTTCCATTAATCATAGTTAGGACAAAAGTACTATAATCATCCTCGGGCAACGAACACAAAAGTAGCATCGCCTTGTCTTCATCCTCAACCATGATATCCACATTGGCCATGTCTGAATGTAGCTTTGTGAAGTTATTAACATGCTCCCTAATGGAAACTCTCCTCTTCATCTTGAACTGGTAAAACCTCTTCTTCAAGTGAAGCCGATTCTCAATGCTCTTAGTAAGATACTTTTCATTGAGTGTTTCCCACATCTTCTTCGCCGACGTCTCGTTCATCACGTCATAAATAAGATCTGGCGTCAAGCATGACCGAATAACTCCACACGCCCTACTATTCATCTTCTTCCAAACCTTAGCTTCCATATCGGCAGGTTTCTCTTGTAACTCAAGAGTCTCCTCCAAATTCTGAGCGTCCAAGGCGTCCATCACCTGACACCTCCACAATCCGAAATTAATCTTGCCGTCGAACTTCGGAACATCAATCTTCATGTTATTGATGCTCAAATTATGTATCGTCTTCGTAAAAGACGATCCAGATGTGCTTGTTTCACCCATGTTGTCGATCTAATCTTCAAATAGGAATCCTTCAGCGAATCCTTCAAACAAGCTCCCAAGTCCAACCCGGAGCTCTGATACCACTTATTGTGCGCAGCGGAAATTTCGGCAGCACCTCCGGTGCGCAAGGTACACAACAAGAGATTAGATCACAACGGAATTCTCGTTTCTCAAAGGAAACAAGAACCGAAAGCCAGATTTCATCAAAGTGAGATATCTGCTCTTCCTCTCGTCAGCTCTAGGACTGCGCGTCGAGGGAACCTACAAGCTATTACAAATCACGGCAAGAACACAAATTTTACGTGGTTCGGCAAATTGCCTACGTCCACGGGGCAAGGAGGGGGGGGGTCTTACTATTAGAAATCAGAGAATACAAGTAGAGTTACAAATCTCTCAGACCAAACCCTAAAACAATGCTCTTGATCTCTCACAAATTGCCTACGTCCACGGGGCAGGGGGGGGGGGAGATCTACTATTAGAGGGAGAGATACAACTAGGGTTTACAATCACTCAATCTAAACCCTCAAACAAACTCTCAAATCCCTCATACAAATACTCTCTCAAAGGGATGCACAAAACCCTAAAAAAGGGAACTGCTTTAACTCTAAGAAGGTACATCAATTTTCTCCCCTCAGCCGAGCACTTTTCCCTATGCCTGCAGCCGCAATAAAGAAAACAAATCTCCTTGCGCTAACAAAACCGTAGCCAAAAGCTCCTTGCATACTTGCACGAAGCCGCCTCCAACAAAAAAAACTCCTTCCTCAGTCCAAAACCCTAGGCGTCTAGGGTATTAATAGCAGTCGGGTGGGCCTACTAAAAGCAATTGTGGACGGCACCTTTGTAGCAATTGTGGGCCCCACTCACTTTATTTTTATTTCCTCACATACCCTTTAAAGAAGCTATACTTATCTATCTCTGTTCATAAATTATTCACGGAATTAGAGCGTAACATATCTTGAGCATCTTTAAATTGAGCTTAGGAAAAATTTATGTTCAATTCCCTACTAACAATTTTGAAATTTCCTTATAAAACTTGTATCATGCTCTTTACATGAAATGCAAGTTTAGGATGCATCTTTGTTGCCTGAGAATCACATACTACGATATTTTCGAGTTATTTTTCAGTGGAACTCCATTTCAAAGAAAGTCGCAGGAAACAACCAGAAAGTGTTAGAGGTCCACTTACAAGGACGTGGATAAAAAGAGAGGTTTGGGACACAAGGCTGTGGTTCCTTTGAGAAGGATGTGCCGGTTAGCAGCAGCTACAAGCAATTTATCAGCATTAGACATGAGAATCATCCACCCTTTGTTCATGCATTGAACATCCACATATTTGCACATATAAATGGGTTAATAATGCATGAAGTAACTTGCATTTTTAAAGGGTCAACTTGATATGTGAGTGGAAAAGATGGGGAAAACTGCAATTTTAAAACTTGTTTCATGCTAGATAGAAAACAGTATCTGAAGTTGACGGCAATATTCAGAAATAAAAATCAACTATGATTTTGGGAATGAAATGTATTCTGAAGCAAGAGATGTTCTATATGTATGCCAAACATAATGATCTAATATCTAAAGTATTATGCTGCAGATAACAATATTTAACAACCCAATTATTGATTTTTGTTCACTATAAGAAAGTAAGTCTTTTGCTCGAGATTTTAATTTGAAATAGATTAGCATTTTCAGAGTTACTTGGCCCATGGAAATGGAAACTTCAGCAAAGGTAGTGATATTTTAGATTATTTCAGGTGCTAATAGAAATAAGTCAGAAAAGTTTTAATTTTTGCAGCATAAGAAAATCAAATATAAACGCGTGAAGCATATAATCCACGTATTAATTAGGCTTGATCAGAGTTTTTTTCTATGAGTCTGTCTACTTCTTATCTTGATTTTTTGATTTTAGAATTCATATTGCTATTCAATAGCGCCGCGATAAGTGTCAAATCAGGCAATTGCTTGCAGAATCAGTCAGTTCATTTGTATGTATGTCTACGGAATCAGGAATGAGACATCGGAGGTGCAAATGAGGCCATTGCAAATTGTAACAAGATTATCTTGAGATTCCTTTGGAATGGTTCTCCTTAGAGGCGTGTGCCAAGCACACCACACAAAATAATCGGCCAACTCTTGTGGTCCTTATACTTTGAAGCTAAATCATGGATGCATGCCTATAAATACTAGCTCAATTTCTTCTAAGTTCATCATAGAGCAACTGACAATTTCTTGAGCTTCTTTGAGTTAATCAATTCTCGGTTTTCATCATGTCGACCTGTGGCAATTGTGACTGCGCTGATAAGAGCCAGTGTGTGTAAGTATTTCCTTGCTCTTTTTTTCTTTGGTGCAACTTATATATGTTTGATTACTAGTTGTTATATATTATAAATTTTCATACATCAAGCTTCGATACTGATGAAAATAATGGATATAATCTTTCATTATATTTTTAGTTTTTCATTAAACTGATATATAGTCCGCTGACATGTACACGTTTATCTGACTTGAACTGATAGTTCTCTTGATGGACTTTTAGCCTTTATATCTCACAAATTTCCAGTAAAACTCACAAAATTTATTGCAAATGCAGGAAGAAGGGAAACAACTATGGTGTTGTGATCGTTGACACCGAAAAGAGGTACTGATACCAAAACTTACATCTGCCCACTATTTTGCCTAATATTAGTAGCAATAAGTCAATAACATTTTACTTGAGAAAAGCCAATAACATGTAAGTTAAAGGGATAATTGAAACAATGACCCAAATATTATGTGTTCTACGACCTATAATTATTGACCATACTTTAACTATGTGATTCAAGTACAAAACATACTGTTGTTGGCACACATCTAATATTAGTATATTTCTACTAGTATATGTATTTTGATCAAAAAACAATTAACTTTTTTAAAGGGCTATCATTGAACTTCGTGGAGTTTTGCAAACAACCCCTTGATCTTTTTTTTATCTTAAATGACTCCCTAATATTTCGGGGTGTCTCTCGCTAAACCCCTATGAACTTTACACTTTTCACACACCCCCCTAGGGTTAATTTCACAAAACT